ATACCACCCATAGGGGTGAGAGGGTTTTTTTAAATTATGTACAGAAGAAAACTCCTAATAATCATAATGCACAAGCCTCTCATTTAAAGCAGATTCCTATACTGTTCCCATGTACCTGGTCCCAAAATACAAGGTACTTTCTCATGCTTTAATACTTTAAGTTTAATGTTTATGAATAAACATCTTTTGTTCTAAAATAGGACGTACACATAATAGTAAAACTTGAGTAAGGAAGTTTTAAATGTTCATATTTCATTAAAAAAAAAAAAACAAGTTGTTATAAGGGCAGATGACTATTGAATTAAGATTTGGAAAAAACCTACAGCAAGATGAGAAAGCTATGTTACCAAATGCATAATTTTATATTCAGTTGGTATATTTGTGAAAAAGTAGTCTTCCACGAAAGGGTAGTCAAATAATATCACAGCTGTCATGGAAAAACATACTTCAGCAAACTACAGGATCAAGTTTCTTATTATTAGTAGCTTTGAAATTAATGGGAATAATTTTGGATTAAGTCCTTTGAGGATTATTGTCATCATCTTTATGAGCACATTCATGCAATATATTGTGCCATAATATTATTGGCCTAATGTAATGTTGAAACCCAGATTATGTCTTAACTACAGCCTTTAATCATGTTTTTTGTAGGGTTACCCACTTAACTGGAATGTCCAGATGGGAGAAGGGGTTTTCCTATCTCCCTCAAGCTTTTTGTAATAGCTCCAATTCTTCAATGATCTAACTACTGTCTTTTAACATTTTTACTTCTCTCTCTCTCTCTCCCCTTCCTTCCTTCCTTCCTTCCTTCCTTCCTTCCTTCCTTCCTTACACATATACACACATGCACATCTATACATACACACATATATACAGTAGCTCCAGCAGTCCATAGTTGGCTATGGTTTAGCCATGTTTTATCATGGCTTGGCTTAGTATATTCTAATGAACATGCTATATATTCTTCTTAAAACTAAGGAAGAAAAAGAAAATGTATGAAGCTGCCTTAAATTGAACTAGATAATTTATATGTATAACCTAACAGTAAGTTTATTGATTGCCAGTGGCCTTCCAGGACTTCAGGCAGGGGTCAAACTTGGGATCTTTTGTATGGATGGCATATGCTTCCATACAAAATTCTAAATAAATCATAATAAAACAAAATATAATTTTGCCAAATCTAGTATATAAAACAAATAATCCCACACGCTCAAGATGACAAGACATTCAAAAGGAAGCCTGCAACCCGAACTCTATTATTTCCCAGGACTCTGAACTAGTGATAGAAAATTGACAATTGCTAAAAAGACCTTAAACATTAGCTATAAGTAGATAATTTTACGTAGTAATTAATTGATCTAGCAAGTGCAGACCTCAGCAGACGGCTCTTTTGTTCAAAGGACCAGCTCTACTGTTTCTACCTCAAATTCATAGCATGTCAAAATCTTAGAAGTCACTAGAAATTCCAGCATATCTCTCATCAGCATAATTTGGAACAGAAAGTATTCAGATTGGTAATAATAAACAGTTCTTATATCTATCAATCTATTGATCACCTGGCAGTGTTTGATAGGTATTTTAGTTTTGAGTAGGAAAAGTATGGGAGAGAACCCAGTTGTACAAGTTGTCAGGTAATCATGATGTTTGGAGCCAATACAGCATAGGCCATCAGTAGGCACTTGTTATGACAGCTTCCTTGTTACTTGAAAAGGCCAATAAAATGATACTGGTATAGGCTTTTCTGAGATATCTGTCTGGCCATTGTGGGAAAAAGATCTAGGCAGATCTTTGAGCATAATACAGAATTTGTGAATGTATTTGATATAGTATCACCTGGAACTGTATCTTTCTAACTTGAAACCAAATCCTTAGAGGTGTTATCTATAGCATAAAATCAAAAAGTTGATAATTGGATTGTTGATATTTTCCCAAAGAGTCTTTTCCTGCTGATATCTAACTTCACTTTTCATGTTTATAGCATGAAATTGCCTGTATGAAGAAGAAAATCCAATTATATCAGAGCTGCAATTATATTATAAATGGAGAACATTTGCACGCTCTGCAGCAATTAAAATGATCACACATGTAGAACTCTCACATGTCTAGTTACGAAGAATTAATTTTATTATATAAGAAAAACAGAATGGATTAGATCCAACAGTATACACCTGTGAATGGGAGACTTCCGATCTGATAGAATTTTTCCACTACAGTAGTTGAAACCAAGATAAGATTATCTGTCTTCCCCAGGTCTGTTCTTGATGGTAGGGGGATCATCTGGAATAATAGGAGAAAGGTGGCACTGGAGCTTCAGAAAAAGTAGGAACTGAAAAATCCTGTAGAAGTTATTTATGTCAAAATTCACATTAATATCACATAATGCCAACCAAATAAGGATGCATTATCTACTCTTTCTACAATGTCATAGGAAAAATGGTTTATTGAAAGGTTTTTCAAACAATTGTCTTAATCATGGCAATTGGTAGTCACCATGCTATAACTTTTTCAAACTGTTTTTTTATTTGACAGGCATATGATATACTTGAAAATGTAGAGGCTTCTCTTAAACTTCTTAACTCTAAAGTTTTCAGCTTGCCCATTTTGGCAATAAAACATGATGAACTACAAAAAGAAATTAAAAATGGATCAGTTGATGCTCTTCAGAAGGGACAAGCCTTACTTAGCAAGCAAGATGCAGACAGGTAAGTATAATATGTAACTGGAGAGCTCCACATACATTTTAGAATGCCTCATAGATGTAAATCCCTGTTGGGAAGTTATGCTTCCTCTAGCAGTTGTTAAATAGTGTTGAAATGAAGCCTTAAAATAGAGAAATTCAAATCTGGGCTTCAGTATAATTGCCTTCATCTAAATCCACTTATGATAGGATCAGGTCCAGAGTGATCCTACAGAAATTTGTTTTGGCATCCCTCAAAGCCCTCCCAATTGATTTTTGTCTAGATTTTTCTCAAGCCAGCGTGAGGGATGGTGAAGGTTCTGAGCCTCATTATTATCAGTGGAACTACTGCCTTAGTTTCTGTGCCATAGGTGTTGCTATCATCATGAGAAGCAGTATTTGGAGCCAACATAAATGCCTGGAAATTGTTATACATTGTAGATGCTGTTATAAGTAAGAACAGTAGCATCTATATGTGAACATCTATGACTAACCTGCCAGCCCACTTCTCCTTGCCCACATAAGCTTAGAAGAAGCAGAACTCCAGGTGACAAGGAAGGAAAAACATTGATCTTGTTCTTCTGGTATCGTTATAATAAATGGAAATCGCCCTGATAGAAAATAGGACTGTTTTAAATGAAAATTCTATTAAGTCATCCATCAATACAATGGAAATAAGGAACAGCTGGTTTTCAATTAAATTTAGTTCAGGTGCCTTATTGTTATCCTGTTCTGCATTGGAAGAAATAACATTCTGCCCATCAGTAGTTCAGAATCTTTCCATCCATCCTCATTTGTGGGGGCAGGGAGGGAGTTTTCAGCTCAGCTTTCACAGCTCTACTTTTAATCTGAGCAGGGGCTTCTAGAACTAATGAAGTTCCAACTGAGAATGCAATTCTTTAGGCACACAAATGATTTTCACGACCAGTATGAATATTTTAATGGAGTTTATATTGCTATTTAATTTCACGATATTTTGCCAGAGAAAATTTCTGTTGTAAATTAACTGAATGTAATAATTCTCTCCTTATGTGCAACTTTCCTTTCCTAACTGTATTTGATAAGGCAATTTGAAGAGGACTATCTCGAGACTTTGCATTATTATAAATCAGCACCCTGGAGCTCAAATATTCAGAATGATTGTCAATTCTTTGCCACTTGACTATGTGCTAATTTTTGTTTAAAACAACATTTTAGAATAAGTGTTACTCTTAAAACACACAGGGAGAATATTCACTGTGAATTGTCTGTAAGAAAATGTAAACTCTTTATAGCTGAAATTTGGATCTGAAATAGAAGCAGTTATGTATTTTTTTAAATTTCATTTTAACTTAGGACCTGATTTTGATAAATCTAACTAAATGAGGTACTACATTAGTATATACAATATTTAATGTTCTCATAGTATTAGGCAATACTAATTATGTAGCATACAGTTAATTTGGGGAATGAGAATTAGAATAAAATCTATATATCTTAACCTCTCTTTTACTATGCATTCCTTTTATTACTGTTGGGCTTTTTTTAAAACAGAGCAATCTTAAATAATTCTGGTATAAAGCATTAGAATATACAGTAGATAGATAGACAGACAGATTACACTCTCACTTACCAGCCAGTGTTAACCATGATTTTATTGCACTTTCAGTTCTTGGATGATTGGGGTTCAGGAAAGGATGGACTACATTGAGAAAAAAGTAGATCAGCTGATCAAACAGTTGCCTGCTCATAAAGAATTTGCCTCAAACAAGGAACACCTAACTACTTCCTTAGAAGATTACCTCAAGAAGGTATATGATAATATGTTTCTTAATAACAAGCCCATATTCAACACATTCATTAGCAATCATGTATTACAGAATACTAGAATGAGATATTAAAAGGTGCATGTTAACTTATTTCAAGTTCTCTATAAACCTACACATACATACACTTAATTCTTTTTCTATCACAAGCAAACATGAAGTGGAAAGATTCCATATAAAGAACAACAACAAAGGATTTGTATGATTTCTCCTTCTGAGGTTGGACAAGTCAGATTCGCCCTTCCTCACCTTTTCAAGGCTGGCTCTTTCCAGTGTTGGCAAATCTCAAAAGGAGCTTCTGTACTTCAAAAGGGAGTGTGGGAATTGAACAGAGTCAAAGCAGGAAGGCTTTCCCACCCACCCCCTCCACCACACTGCCAACTCAAAGGTTTTATTTCCTCCCAAACCTGGCAGGATGATAGGGAAGCTACTCTTCTTCAGCTCTACTCATCACTGGCAAGATGCTGCACTGAAGAACCTAATATTAGCAGATCCATTAAAAACAGTATTAAGTTAAATGTTGAGAATGAGCCCTGCCATTGGTTGCAAGCCATCACCAACAGAGGACAAAGATTTTGTATTCTGCCTTTCTTCCTCTGTGATCTCACATAGAATGGCTTGAAAACTGCTCTCGGAGCTCACAGAGGGCACCAAGCAAGATGCCATTTCTCCAAATTACAGGCAAATGTCAGGACTACTTTGCAAGCAGATGTATTGCTTTTGAATGTATTCTTTTTACCAAGTCCATGCACTAACTAAAATATGTCATGGTTGCAAAATCAAAACTGCCTCTGATAACAATTTGCAAAAACAGTTTTTCAAACAATTGGAAAACCTTTGAAATTGGATGATTACAGCCAAGGTTTCTTCATCATCTTGCATCACACAACATATTTTATAGGGGATCTAGAGGGTATTGTCTCCCTTTTTTAATCCTTTCAAAAATCTTTTAAGGAGAAAAAGTTGAAATAGTTATAGGATTTTTTTTTTTTTATTGATAGCACTAGGACCACTCCATCTGGAAGTATCCTTAAAGTATTCCCTAATGGATCACACTATGTAAAATGTGATGCTCAAATCAACTGTAGCATTTGTCAGACACAGGCCTTTGGAACAAACATCATTATGCAGAGTGCAGAAAAGGAGTAAAAAATATTAAGTCAAAGAAATTGAAGGCCTGATTTAAGAAAAAGAAACATATCTAAAATTTGATTATGCTAACGCAATTCACATATCTTTCAATATTTTCTATTCTTGCAAACCATCTGTGCTTACACAGTGTCCATACACTGCTTTCTAAGTTGCCTTTTGCCCTATAAACTGCTCATCTCTATCATTTTCAGTAACTCATGAATTCCATCCAGTCATGATTTTCTAGGTTTTCTAGGTTTTCCATTTCCCCTTGACCTTCAAATGTTTGTTTTGCAACTGTTTCCTCATTCATTCTATATGATGTACCCACCACATTGCACTTCTTTCATGCTGATCACTTACTTTTGTACTCAATTCACATCCTCTCTATCTTTCATCATAAATGTTCAATCATTCTTTCAGATATAAATTAATTCCTTTGCCATGTATATGCGCAAGCAGATTTATCTACTTATCTAGACTATGTATTCAAACAGATACTGATAAGCATATACCGGTCAAAACATCAGCATTCTCATTTATTCTTGGGTTTCTAAAATGTTCTAGTCACCTTTTCTTTGCTCTCTTTTCACGTTCCCACCTATCAGTTCATGTCACCTAGTAGAATTTTTTTTTTTTCTGTTGACCCCATTAATTCAGAAAGTTGCAGTTTTTTTTTAAAACTCATATCAGGTTCTTCAATTATCACCATTCACTGGAGCATACCATCCAACTACCACCAATGTTCATGCTTTCATATGTACTCACAACAATCTAGATGACACAAATTCATACTTTTTGACTTACATTTCATTCATATGTAACCTTCCCTTTCTGAATGCATTCGTCAATGCCACTCCACAAGATCAAAATATTTTCATTTAAATCTGTTACATCCTTATTTATTTCCCTTAACTCCACAGACTCATATCTATTTTACTTTCTGTTATTCCATTTGTTAATTCTTTTTAAAAAATTTTTATCCCACCTTATAAATTACTCAGGGCAGTGAACATATACTCCTTCCTCCTCCTATTTTCCCCACAACAACAACCCTGTGAGGTAAGATGGGCTGAGACCCATCTTACCTCACAGTTTCTAGCTGGCTTTCATGCCTAAGGCAGGAGTAGAACTCACAGCCTCCTGGTTTCTAGCCTGGTGCCTTAATCACTAGATCAAACTGGCTCTTACACTATAAATCACAGTCTTCCATACATAATGGTTGTCACCAGATGGGCCCGTAGATATTGACCTGCATCACCCATCATAGCTTTGATCAATATAACCATAGTACCTATAATAAGAGGAAAGCTACAGATTGGATTACCACCTTTAGTCATACCACAGCACATACGGCATTCCCTGCAAATGGCCAGTATGCCACAAATGCCAATGAATCCCAATTTTACTACAGGCTTGCTCACACTATTCTATGCAAGCTGGAGTTTCTAATCTAAAGACTACTTTCCAAACCAACATATCATTAATTGGATTCAACCAGTTGGGAAAGGTATACAGTATATAGCATACTTACTCACACTCAAGACACATGCTGCTGCTTATATTATGCATGTGATATATATGAACCATTATATTTAAAAACCATAATGTTATGGAATTATAAATGAATTTTATATAAAAAGGGAGGCAGCTTTCCAAGAAGAGAAGCCATTCTGGAATATTACTCAGCTTCACAATTTTTAAAATTGCTTCCTCTTGGCTAACAATATAACAAATATTATGTATCAGAATGAGTGATGAGGGAAACTTAAGGAAAAAGATGGCACACTCATAGGATCATATTATCTTAAAAAGTATTAAGGGAATTGTGTTCTTGAAAGCTGTCTCACATTGCAATTCAGCTATTGTTGAAATGCTTCTATATCAGTGTCCTTTATGGTTTTCAACTGTTGTTGATATCTGTTTAAATATAAAGGCATCAACAAAGATTCAAGACATTGGTCCAGTACTCTCAGCTGCAGTATATCCTGGATCATCTGCTCCTGAATCAGAAGAAGTCCTGAACAAATATTTAGAGCTGGCAAATCAAACAAAGGTCTGATGTACTTGCTTTATTATCATCATTTTTTAACTGTTAAATCACATGCTCATACTATGAATTTTTCTTAGAATTTTGCAAAAATGGTTATTTCAACACCATCACCATGCTCTTATTTGGGCTGATTTTAAACTTATTATACCAAAAATAATATTAAGCACATTTTGTTTTTTTAAACATTGCAATGGATTTCTCTACATTTTGCTGTAAATTATATCCTATATATATGGAAATAATATACATATAAAACTGAGCAAAAACTATTCATAATGGGTTTCAGTATGGAAAGTGTTTTGCTTGCACAAAGTAAGCAAGCAGCAAGGATGTTTGCAGAAGGGGAGGGGGCAAAAAAGTCAAGGCAGTGGCCACAACCACATGACTGAAGGTCTCCCCCTTTTTATGTATGTCACACATGCAACAAATGGAAGACAGGGATTCAATTATATGGTCATGGCCATCATCTTGACTTTTTGACACACACCCCTTCTCCATGGACACTGCTGGCAACCTTCCTTCACAGAGCCTTCCTACAAATTAGCACTCTTAGTCCTGTACCCCCAACTGTTACAAATGATCTTCCAAACTTTCGGTAGGATCCCAAAAGGGCTTTGGGGGCAGCAGACTTTTCAAACTGTTGGTGCGGGTTCATAAGCAGCTTAGCTCAGATTGTTTTAAAAAATACTTGATCAATCTTGCATGGGCAAAGTGGGAATGCAATCAAAATTCGCTCCAGACTTTGCTTCTCACTCTTCCTGGTGCAAATGACTGTGCTCTCACTTTCTTTGTGTGAGCCTATGGCCCATTTTGAGAACTCTTGTGTTCTATAAATTAAAAGTTAATTATTAAAATATTATTTTTATTTCTCGTATAACTCTTAAATTAAGAGTTTTCAAATTGTTTTATTCATGGGGGAGCAAATACATTCTTTTATAATTGAGGGAGTGGTATCACAGAGTCTGAGAACTCCTTTTTTGGGAAAGAATAAAAGTAGGTTTAGTGTGTAAACCATAATGGGATACATTGATACATTGATATACATTCAATATCGCAATAAGAGCAAATGAAAATATAGTGATAAGAGCAAATGAAATTTGGGTGTCTATATAATACTCATATTTGTTTAATAACTAAATTAGTAAATCATGAGGAAATTGTTTAATTTTCAAAATGTTAATGTATTTATTTTTCTCTGCTATATCGCTGTAGGATATGGCCAATGAACTAGAACTGGCTGTAAGAATTTGTAAGGAAATGGAAGAACTGGAAACCACAGAAATAGCAGTTTTTTCAAACAAAACTGAGCTTTTAAATGAAGAACTGGCAACACTTAACAGAAATCTTTACTTAAAACTCGAAATCCTGAAGCCATATGTAGCATTTTTAAAGTCATCAGATGAGGTACTTACCCATATTTTGCTAGAAGAAATCTACAGAATGATTTTGTGATCCTTCCCTGCATAGGAAAGATACCCACATTTGGTGATAGAATAATGTTCAGAATAATGTTGCCCCCTTCCCTGCTTGGTATCAATCTGCGTCCTCACTGAATGAGAGAACTTCAGATGCCTCCATGCTATTCTGGGCTCACTGACATAATGAAATGACCAGCAGTTTCCTGGCTGATGCAGTGAACTGGTCATTATTTTTTGTGGTGTCTGTTGCAATGCAGACTTGGATGGGAGAAACTGGTCTCCAATAAAGCTTGTGGGAGCCCATTCATAGGTAAAAACTGTACGTTTAGGGGGAAGGATCAGAACCAACATGGTTTATTTCTACTTCAACGTATTCTCCCCAGCCTGGTGACATCCAGATCTTTGGGGACTATGTTGGCCATAATGACTGGGAAGTTTGGGAATTCAAAGCTGCCAGGTCTTGGAAGTATGCTCTAGCATATTTTAGAACTTCTCCATTGGATAGAATTAGATTAAGCATTACATTAAAGATAAAGGGTAATTTAAAATAAAGATGAAATTGTTCAAATGATCTAACATATAACTTCCTAACTCACTTCTCAGAAAGGGCAACACCATGTAAGAGCATTCAGTTGTCAAACTACTGCCTCAAATAATTATCTCATAGTCATTTTTGAACATCATCCAGCACATTACTCGTTTAGCAGAAGTCACTAAAGTGTGTTTTGCTAACACCTTCTTAGAAGACAGGGAGGGAACTTGTGGCTCTTCAGATGTTGCTGGATTCCAGTGTTTATTAGAACCAGACAGTATGGCCAATAATTTAGGATGCTGGAAGCGATAAAACGACAGTAGAGAAGATCACAAGTTTTCAGTCCCCACTTTAGCAGAACAATTTCCAGAGAAAACAGCCAAGGGCCTCATATTTAACAAGAATAAGAATCAATCTGAAATGCCCCAAATAAACAGAATAAATTTGGTAAGGCATCCTCTCAAGTTTAACTAGTTTTATTTGCAATATATTTAACCAAAAGTTTTAAAAAATACATATTAAGTTCTTGCCTAGCTTTTTTTAAAGTCCTATTTACTTCAGGGAAGGGCTTCAAGGATTCTGTAGGTGCAACTCAATAACCAAAGAATGTCCATCATAAATGTATAGAAGAGATTATTCAGGTTGATTCATTTCTACCCCTTTAGGCTGGAAATGATGCCCAGAAGCTGAAAGAATTCTATATAAGTGAGCCTGCGGAAGATGTTGAAGCTAAAAAGGAGGCCTTGCTGCAATCAGCTGATGTCCAGTGGCATTTGGTTCTGAAGAAGATTCTTTCCACTCAGGATATGGGTCATGACTTTTTAAATTTAGTAAATATGGTGAGGCAATTGCTGATGATTTATAGATACCAGCAATGTTCATTTTCCCACATTCTTTCTAAACTAATCCTCTATGTTTGGGCTAAGCCACAATGAGTATAATTAGATATACCTTCTAAGGCAAAGCTAAGCTTATTTAGGGCATAAATTGAAGGACTGCTTCTTTTAGCCTGGCTTAGTCTGCATGTCAGCCCCATCCAGACTGGGACCAAGATGTACAGAGTTCAAGGGGTCAAATCTCTCCAGCATCTTGTTTAAAATTTGTGTGGGGACCAATGGAAGGTTTGGACTTTTTCCTTTTGTTCCCAAATAATGTCTGGATTTTAAGAACCAAAAGATGTGGGAGGAAGTATTAAAGCCTCCTTGTTTCTGCATGGTGGTCTTTAAAAACCAAGTACTTCCTCTACAGTAAAGAAAAAAAGGGAGGCAGATGCATGATGCATATTAAATACATTTAGTTTAGCTCCTAGGAAAACATATAGAATTGCATGAAGTTGGAGCTGAAAGAAATCTCTGCCTCTTTTTGATACTAACTTCCATCATAAAGATGCCAAAAATAGTGTGCTTTCTGTCCTTCTTGGAAAAAAATAAATTCGTAATTTCTGTCTGGAACAGGTGAATAACAATCTCATAATGAATGTGGAAAATGTGGTTCAAGTAACGGAACATACTCTTGATATTCTGAACAAAGAAAAAGAAGAACTAACACAGCTTTGGGCAAGATGGAAGCTTAGTATGAATCAAGTGAAATCTATTAAACAACAGTGTGGAAAATTTAATGAGCAATTTAAAACTGTAAGTGAAATCTATATAACATTTATTCCTAACTTGTGTTTGGTAAATTGGAATTGCCGGTTGTTTTAATTTTGTTTTGGGCAGATCAGAAAACTATGTCTTAAGGCCTGAATCTTCTATGGTATATTCAAGAGATTTGAAACCATAGTAGCTGAACTGTTTAAATGTTCCAACTTTTCTCTTAACAACGGTATGTTTTTCAAAACTAAGAATTTCTTCTAGCAATTTTAGGGAAACATGAAATGCAACACAAATTCTTTCCTGAAGTATACATGCAGATAAAATGTGTACTGTCATAATCAAAGTATAAAGAATGTCCAAAAAACCAGGGATGGACACAGGGGGTCAAAAAGTCAAGAGGATGACCACAACCATGTGATCAAAGCCCTACCCTTTTTTACATGTGTCACAATGCATTTTGACTGCATGGTTGTGGCTGTCCTCTGCAGTCATCCCTGCAAAGAGTTTTACATCAGAAAATATGAGCCCTTATTGATGGTGCCTAGTAGTCAGCCATTTTCTCTGTAACTTCTAAATTCCTCTGGATTCACCAAAGTTTGGACTGCTACCTTTTATTTGTTGGTGTTTTTAAAATAGTTGGCAGATTTAAATGAGCTCTGTTGGGTTAACAAAACTTATTCCAGCTTAAGTGTTTGTAGGACAGATCAGTAAAAGAACTTTTAAAATGTCAGGAAATACTGTACAGTCAGATGGAAGGTAGATTCAGACACTCAGAAAGATTAAAACAGCATCTTTTTCTCCTTTAGCCTCATGATGCAAATTTCAGTTCCATTTGGGATTTGGCTTGTTTTTTTTGCTGAAACTTCATATTTAAACATTTATTGGCAATAATACAATGTAGTTTTCATATCTTCTGGTCCATTCTAGTCCTCAAAAATAGCATGAATATGAATGATATATAGGTAATCACTAACCTAATCTATTTTGTAGCATTTTTACTATACTACATGCAGGTGTAATATACATTTTTTCCTAAAACTTGTCTCTTCTTGTCACTTCAAATGACTAAATTCTAAAATATGCATTGGCAAATTGTTTTGTGGTGTATTATAGACAACACAACGCTTAATCATTCTTCAAGAGGCACTGAGATCTACTCTGGCACTTGATCTAGGAAGTAACCTTTCAGTACTTATGGAATTACAAAATAAGTTTAATGAAATGAAACCACAGTTTCAGGTGAGAACATAAATTGTGCGTTTTGAAAAATTGTGTTCTATATGTTTCTACAGATACCAAGAACAATGTATTTTACTTCTTTATAAACCCTAGGTTAATGCAAACATGCAATGATAAATGAAAAACCATATTTAAAGACACTTTTGGCAGTACGTGGAGCAAAATTTAGGAAGATATCCAGACTTAAATTAGTACCTTCACTTTCTCAGAACAAGGGAAAAATCACAGTTGAAATAAAATGAACAGAGATTTGCTTGGCTTAAATATAAATGTACTTTCTTTTGAGGTCTGAATACTTTTATTGTACCTAATTCATTAGCAACTCAATGCTGAGGTGGAATACACATTAAAATTATCAGAGCAGCTGAGCATGAAAGGAGTTCCTGACATGGAAAAATCTGAGAAAATAAGCGAGCTCATTCATCTCCATAAGGAGATAAAAGAAAGGATGGCAGAATACGATGAAGTTTTCAACAAGACAGTCAAATTCCACCAAGTCAGAGAGGAAGTAAGTATAGTTGTCTTTATTCTCATGAACCCAACTGTTTCACTGTCCCATTCATCTATGTGTACTTTCTTTTATTGTGCTATAAATAAACACCATATTAAAAGAAGCAGCAGTAACTATGCTAAAGTATTTGGGGGGCCAAAATCTGGATTAAGAGCCAAAGTTATCCTGAAACCAAAACGGAATGTTTTGTGAAAGTAACATTAAAAGATGCAAGGCTAGATGTTAATGAAATATATCTATAATTTTCCCAGCTTGAAGGTCTCATAAAATCAGAAGGACTGGAGATCCTACAAATGAAAGATGCGCCAAGTGACACTTCCCATGCTAAGATCCACCTGAATAATGTTCAGGAGAAGCATGTACAAATCAGACATCTGTATAAATTGGCACTTTCGCTTGGAATGGATATACTCTCAACAGTAAAATATCCTGTAAGTAAATATCACAGCAAGTCCAGAATGGGAAAAAAAGAGTGATTATTTAGGGCATGCTATTTTCTTTCCTACCCATTTCTTTCATCATGGTCTATGAATTTACAACAGTGACAGTGGTACAACTGAACATTTTGCCATTGCACTCCCCCCCCCCCCCATTTTATGGGAGTATTCTGGGTGGCTACTACTGTGATTATCTTCTTCACCAAGTATCAGTTAACTGTATGTAACTTGACACAAATTATGACTGGCTATATCTGTAGCTAATAAACTGGAACAATGAAGAAGATAGTGTTGATAAAGGGGTTCACAGGTTAAGGTGATGCTGTTATCTGTTCTGGGTAGATTTGCATTCCCCCATAAGCATAAAGTACATAGTTTTGGGAAGAGGTTAAGTAAAATCCTTGGTTTGTAATATGAAGTTCCTTTGACCAGTTTGAGGCTAGTCCATCAATTGCAACCTCTCCTTGGGCAATTCCCCACTGCAATCTAAGATGCTTGTCTCTCATGCTGCCCCCAGCCAGCTTCAGACATTCCAGTTTGGGTTAGCAGTCTGTAGTCCAGGCTGGGAATGGGTTGATACCCAGTCTGGACTACAGCCACTACAAGTCCTGATTGGTTGTTCCCCTGCTTCTTGCAGGAAAGGCAACCTTTGCTGGCTACTCCAGTGTGGACCTGTGAGTGCCTTTTCCTGTTACGGATTGTTCCCTTCTCACGAGTCACCATGCCTTCTCTTTGCTTTCCCAGATGTTTGCACATATGCATGCCTTCGCTCCCCCTTCCCACGTTATCTCCTTTGACATCAAAGCAGACCCTTTCTTTTTTCTTTTGCCCCTTATAAGTACCATCGTAGCTCTGATGCTACAGTAATCAAAGCAATAGGAAAAAGGTTGTTCTTTTGTTCCGATGTTCCTCTATAGATCCATGGAAAGACTGATAGTTCAGCTTCATAGAAATTAAGTAATAATATTCCTATGATATTACTTAAAGGTGTTGAAATAAATTAGGGGAAGGGAAGCTTTGCTGTACTATGGCAGGACTGTTACAGAAACACTGTATCAGAATATCTCATAGCCTTCCTACTTTGTCCCATCTGCTCCGTCCATTCCTTAAGACCTTTATCAAATATCCTCACTCTGAGAACTGAGGCAGGTGCTTTCCCAGTAGCGACATCCGGTTTGTCAGTGTTCTCTCCAGGGGTATTCAGACACAAAGCAGACAATTCTTCCCAACTTTATTTAATTAGATTAATTTGTTTTTAGAGCTTGACTGGTGACTGTTTCTGTTATATTTTATTGATCTGATTTTATGGCTGATTTTATGTCTTCCTTTTGATTATTGCTGCTTCTGCGTTGATTGTACTTATTTTTTTCTTACAGTTTTACTGGACGTTGCCCCCCAAAGGTAGTCTTTTACCTTGGAAAAGATGAATAGATAAAATATATCAACTTGATTAAAAAGAGTTTCAAAGTAATTTACCTGAATGCACTTTAACTACTAATTCATGTTACAGTACACAGCAGCAAGAACCTCTGTTCATTTGTATTCCAAGAAACAGCACAATCTGTGAAATAAGTAGAATTTCCTGTGGTTTAAACCAAGCATTGCATCTTGTATATACAGTATGTTGACAGATATAGAACTCAAATTTATATTTTCAGATTTTGCCTAAATTAGAGTATCATGCTTTTGGGAAACAATAACCTTACTATATGACATTTTTCATTATTACTTTCACTGTTCATAGACAATTGCTTGTTGTTTCAGCATAATTTCTATATTTCATTTCAGAATTCCTTTAATGTTTCTGTAAAGAACTTACAGCAGCAGCTGGACACCATTGAGTCTGAGAGCATTAACTGGGACTCCAAAGCTGAAAAGTATGAGGAAGAGCTCTCACATGCCCTCCATTTCTGCATCACAAGAGACGAGATACATGAGGTGTGGTGAAAAGTACTCATTAAATGACTGAAACTGTTGTGTCCTTTGTCTTCTTGTTGATTCTCTTCAGTAATGCCCTTGTATTCCTTTTTGTTTAAGCTTCTGAGGAACACTTGATTCATAAACCAGTTGTAGAGATATTAATGCCTCTCTAATTAAAATCTTTGCTAGCACTTGAATTCCTGGAGACTGAAAAGCAGATTACAAATTATCACAGCTATATCAGTATGTAAAATACATTAGTGATAGATTGAGATGCTGGAGTTGTAGACTGTATTGCTACAGATTACAGACAGGAGTTGTTTTTCTTCACCCATATGTAAAATGTCCTCTGCATCTAATAAATCACAGTGGCACAATCTAAATGCTTCTTCTCAAAAATCTAATTCACCAGAAGCAGGAGCAATTTTTCCCTTCCCTATGCGCTGAAATGCATGTGAGGTCTGGAATGAATGTCAGATGAAGGAATGGAATTAAAATTCTCATTGTGTGAATTGACTGTTGCCAGTGCAACTTTGTACTCCACCAGTAGGGTTATTCTAAAAAAATATTTTCTTTACCCTGAAATTCATGTTTTTCACCATAGTTCTTATGTTCCGAAGCACTATCATGATCCACACCCCATCTATATTCTTGAAATAATACATTCTGGTGTCTTGTTCTCATCTGATTCAGTGGCAATAGGATTAAAAAGATGTCTGATTGAAGCTCATCTGACATTCCTCAGCACTTTTGTGCAACATAAATATAGCTATTGCTTCCTGACAAACAGTTTAAGGCATAGATACTTCCCAAAGCATATTTAGATGGGTTGTTATTTCTTATTATGGTGAATTCTTAAACTTAAGGATTCTTTAAGGATTCTTAAATTCTTATATATGGTGGTTGAAATCCATAGAACTGGTTTGGGCACTCCCAAATTAGATGTTTAACTTTTTTTCCCTTTCTTATTAGAAAAGTCCAGTGGCATATCATAAATTACTTCAGAAAGTTCTCTTGGTTTCAAAAATGGTTTCTTATGGTGAGCTATTGTTCAGGAAATACCAGGGTAAAGTCCCACTGATGTAAGGAATTGTGCAGTTGGTTTGGCATTCTGTATACAATATTTGAAACATGTGTAGGTAAATCACCATACAATGGGCAAAACTTCACTTTTAAAAGAAAACAAAAGTCAATCTTAAGGCTAAGCAGATGCATTTATATGCCTTCAAACTGTCTTAACTGTGTTCTCAACTGGTATCCTTGTTGATCCTCTGGAGGTTACATCTTGTAAAGTCACCTCTGCTGATCAGCCTGTTTGTATTCAGCCTAATGATTTATACTCAGTAGGACAATAAAGCAAACATTATCTTTCACTTTCCTATTAATGCCACTTCCCTTCATGAACATGATTGCTCTGGCCGGCTCAGTGAGTTGGGCTCATTTGGAATGTGGTTTTAATTGGTGAATTTCACCTTAGCACAAGTTCCACCAGGACTCCAAAACAGTCCAGCTAGTAACTTTGCTGCAGATCTCTCAATATACAGCCTGAAAGCATTTTTGGTAATCACACTTACTTTTCATAGCTTTGATATTTAATCCTGTGTAACAGTACAGAAAAGCCAATAAACTTGTCATGTAACTACTATAGAAAGAAATTTATTTATGGATTGCAGTTTAGCTCTAGTGAAGTGTACAATTAAAAATAAACTGACATCTTGATGAGATTTAGATAGTGCTTTCCTATTGTATAAATAGCAAGTACATCATGAAAAATAGTGACATCATGTTGGTATGATAGTAATGTAATGCTATTAAAGGCTAGAGGGCCCACTGCTATGCATAAACTAAATGGAAGTCAGTTTAAGATAACTTAATATCATTTAAAATGACATTTTGGGTAGTTTGCTAAATGCAGTTCATCAACATTCATTTCATAATTATGTAACATTATTTAATTTGATTCTGGTCTTCCCTTTAGAAAACACACAGCAAGTCTGCTTATTATTCAGTCTAGTTTCATCAGTTTTCAAATGGAAAATATGTTTTAAATGAGGAAAATATGAAACACATTTTCTCCAAAGTAGTACTCAGATAAAGCAAACCAATTTTTCCCTTTTTTGTTCAATGGAAGCAGTAATTGACTGTGTCCTCTGAGGTCAGGTTATTCCTTGAAGTAACATTCTGTGTAGCACCAGTTTATTACTTCCCTGTGAATGAGCAGAGCTCCATATTTGCATGTGGCCCAGCATGGAAAGGTTGGAGCATACTGATTATACTAGATTCCAAAACCAATTTGTTGCCCAAAACACATTAACAAACCTAGCTTTCATATATGGTCCACATATCTAAAACAAGTTTGAAAATTCATTTTAAAATTGAATTCACAATGAGTAGTGAATGGATTTTCCATTTAAAACAGATGAAACTGGATTGAAACTAATCGCACTTATTCTGTTTTCTAAAGGGTAAATAAATAAAGTAATCCAATTTTGGCTTAATAATAAGAGAAAGTCTTATCCTGCCAAGGAGAAAGCCACACCCCACACCAAAATGGGCAGGGCAAGCTATTGTAAATAAACAGGGAGCAAACCCCACACTCGCTAGCACTGATGATGTTACCTAGTTGGGTAACGAAACGTCTGCAAGCAGACAACCAGGCTCAGAGAGCACCAAGGACTCCACAATTCAAACTTGAGCTACATATATTCTCTTCTATTGGAAGAGAAATTTATTAATGTTTAACCCATATATAATGAAAGCTAAGTAAAGTGGAACAGAGGAGCCTCAGGAGAAAATGGTCTCCTTCATTACAGGTTTTTAAGCAGAAGCTGGACGACCATATGTCAGAGATAATGTAATTGTAACCTGAATATTACAATTTTGTACTGAACTGGACTAGAGAAGTTCTGAGGGCCCTGTTCTAAAATTCTGTGTCACTAATTGACTTATATAAACTACAAACATCATAAACAGGAAAATAAATTATTTATAGAGTTTTTTAGGATAAGAATCTAAAGCAAAATAGTCCTGTCATTTTACAACTCCATGCTTACTTCAGCAGAGATTAGGCCCATATTTCAAATCCAATTTCAGGCTTGTGGGACATGTTAATGCCATTCTGGATATATGATAGTATGCAACCATAAATCAAAGTTTACATTTGTGCCTGGTATCCAACTCGCATCAGTTCTGCATCACAATCAGTGCAATGTAGTCTTGTTCAGAACTTGCCATGACAGCATTTTAAAATAACACTTTGTACCACTACTTTTCTCTGCCACCACCACCTCCTCCTCTCATTCCAGAAGTGCCACAGCACTGTGTGCAAATATACTGTGTATAAATATTTCTAAATTACATCATTTGTGGTGTTTCAATGCATGCCTTCCAACAATCAGTTTATACACGGATGAAAAAAAGCTACATGAAAGTGATTCCTGGAAAGCCTTCATTTTGAAAGAAAAAGGAGAAGTAGGGTCTTTTGTTTTTTTGTGAAATATGAGAAACAGCTTATTAAAACAGAGTCCTCGTAGTCTCTTCATTATTTGTTTTCTTCTTCTTGTGTGACAAATTGCAGCAATTGTCATAAATTATTCCTTGGATTGTTTCTTACCCATGAAAAACCAGCTGTGCTGGTTTGTCGTAGGTAAGAAATGATGGCTTTTTAGGGTTAAGGCTAATTAAGATCACATTTTAATAATACGTGGAATAGTTTGTAGTCAACTTAAATGACCCAGCTGCCCTGCCGTCTTGTGCAATCTTGTGTTGTCATATCTTCATGTGATTTTTTCCCTCAATGAATCCAATATACTGATGAATACTGGCAAGCTGCTATAGTTTCACAAATTTTAATACTTCCAGGTTGCTGACAGCATGACACTATGGTGTCATTATACTTAACATTAATTACTTCCTCAGAGATGTCTCACTGAATTCAGTTGGGACCTCTTTCAAGTACTCATGCTTAGGGCAAGATTGGAGTATTAGATGCATATGAGGATTTCTTACCTGCCTTGGATCCGATTGATTGATTGATTATGTGCTATCAAGTTGTTTTCGACTCCTGGTTACCACATAGATTTTCTCCATGATGAGCCTTGGATTTCTCCTTCTCTTAGTATGCTGATGCACTTCTTTCTTCTTTGAAGTTTAGATGAATATCTATTTATCTATCTAGCTGAATGACACTAACAGACAAATCTGTTTAGTACTTTGACCTGTACTGCTCCTAATGCAAATGAATTCTGTCTATCAATAAGTAGCAGAACGATTCCTAATTATTGGAAAATAGCGTAACTTTAGGCATAATGTAAGAAGTCTAATGCTATGAATCTGCCACTGGTTTTCATTCAGAAGGAGGAAAGTAAGAACAGCTGCATTCTGTTGACATCCTTTCTGAAACAATGAATTTCTATTTTATGCACTTTCTATCAAAACAGAAAAAAGAAGTTTAACATCTTTTATAAGTACACTGACAACCTATTAAAGGGATTTTTTTTTTTTTTTGGCTGATTTATGGTTCTATGTAAGGATTTCCTCTTCCCAACCAAAGAATAATTATTTCACATTTTAAATAGAAAAGGAATCTTTGACTAACTGGAAATGAATTTCCTGCTGGCTCTGGTGTCCTATAAGAGAAAGTTGCAACTACAGTACTTCAATTGATAATAAATGGATGATGGTAATTATAAATTCTCATATAAACTGTGAACCATATGTTGAAGTAAAAGATATGTTTAAAATGAAAGTAAATGGCAGACCTCAAACACATATGCTCCTTGTAAAGTATCTTTATTCTGGGACAAGATGGGTACATCATACACTGAGTATTTATTAAGAATGTTTTCCAGACAATCCAAACAGCTTATTCAGAATACTTAATTAGCCAATTTCATCTGCAACTATTGCTAAGATTCCCCAAAGTGAATGTAGAAACCCAATTGTTGCCATCTTTCAAAAGTTAAATGGAGCTCTGTGGATATATCCATTAAAATAGAATATGAATCCAGAATTCTCTCCCTTTCTTTTACTTTATTAAACTCATAATAATGAAACGGTAATATTTACAACAGAACAAAGATAGAAATATCAAATTTGGTACAATTTAAATACTACCATTTCAAATGGTTTACATTAACAATAGTAGATATGAGAAAATAAAATAAAAATAAATTACATAGAAATATAATGCTATAGAAAACAGCTCAAAAATATTTGACCAAATTGCTTGAAAGTGCTGTTTTAAGAGAAAAGACATTATTTGAATATTGGCAGAACAGATTCACGGTTGCAAGTTGAGTATAAATTTGTAATTCCTGTGTTGCAGAATAGTTACTTAGGATATGAAAAGTCCCATATATGGGGAATATAACAGGAGAACATGTACATCCTGTGAATAGCATACCAAAATCTAGAACTGTAACATCCAAGCCCATTTTTCCCTCTCAGAGGATATCAAGCAAGGGTATAGAAAGACTGCAGAGCACACAAGTATACAAGTGTACTTCTCTGTTGTGGGGAATTGAATTGAGAGAATTTGGCAGCTGCTATTGTGTTGCTGTCTACTTCCCACAATTCCCTCTGGCCTAAAATGGGGATTGATTGGAAAGCATACCTTATTCCTGTCCTCTTGGCTCTTGTTTCAGGACACAGCTGCAATGTTGTTGTTGTTTTATATATATATATATATATATATATATATATATAT